TACCATGACTAATTATAAGAATATTTACTTCTTGTAAGTGTTAATCGGTAAAGATGTTTGTACTTAAATGTGAGATAATGGTTAAGTGCTTTCCTTGTAAGCATGAATTAAATACCAGTTATAATAAACAATCACCTCCTCTAACCTAGAGCAAAAGGTAAGATTTCTGCAACAGATGAAACATGAGAAGTAATAATTTATGCAAAGATGCTATGCTATTGTAAGAAGTAGGCTTACCTGATTCATTCTGCTTACAATACTTAGCAAAGGAGGAAAACCCATCTGAAAAAGTCAATGTGGAAAACGCAGAGACTGTCACCAACATACTTTTGTTCTTACTTAGAATTTGCTAATGTTTTAATGGGATGTTCAAGCATTTGTAGTGATTTTGAATTCTGTTCTGAGTTTTGATATTCATTTAAAAAATCCTCAAAGTTCAAGATAAGGTTGATTCAAGTTTGATATCAAAGAACTTTGTTTTACAAGCAACAGTAAAAGCATTTTTTAAGGATGGTACAAAGGGCATGTTTTAGACTAGCATGTACGAAGGCAGGAACCACATTGCTGCCATTCAACAAAATTCTACAGCAGACTTGGCAAAAAGCCTTGTGTGCAGTTAGCAACACAGTATTATGCTTTTGTTGATAACAGATCAGTGAACTCTTCAACTTTCCAACTGAAGAAATATAGACTTATTCTCTGCTTCACTCAGTTGCCACTTAAAAGGGAAGAAAAGTGGGACTTTTGGTGCTCACCAGGGAGCCAACTTTCAGTTCAGCACAAAATGGTAATAAACAGTAGGATAGTTTCTGGGAGTTGCTCATGAAAAATAGCAGCTGAAATTAAATGGAAGTCCTGTACCCACCTTTAGGTAATCAATTCCTAGATTTTCATTATCAGATAGTGTATCTATTTCTGAGTATAATCTTTCACCCAAGCAAAACTTTTTCCAGCCTTCTTCATCCTCTGATTTTGGCTGAAGTAAATAAAAAATAAGTGAAAATCATGAAATATTGCTGTCTTAAAGACACTTAAGAACAGTTTTGATATTATTCACAAGTTGTTGTATTTAAACTGTAAAGCAAGATTAACCACATAAGTTTAACCGCTGGAAGAAACACAGAAGCATTACGACTTCTACTTACCATAGAAACGTTGCTGTCCAAATGTTGTGACCGCCAGTGATTTCTGTGCTTGTTCAGACTCTGAGGAATTAAAACAGTGCCTAATCATAGTTTAGCTTTGCAGTTTTATTTTATCCTAGCCAAAATGGTTCTTAATTTTCTATTTGCTTGTGTTTCCTAGTTATTAAGATGACATCCCTTATAAAAATGATGCAGGTCTCTAAAAGTACATGTTGTTATGTTCTACAAATAAGCTAGTTAGTAGGCCTAACTAGCTAAATAATTCCCATTCTTAGTATAAAAGTAAGTCTAACTTGCTTATGCTGGTTTGTTGGAAGTAATGTTAAAGCAGAAGGAATTTTTAAGTCCACTACTTAAAGCTTTGAGTTGAGTTAATAAGCTTTAACAGTCTTACAGACTTCTCTTAGTATAAAAAAACTTAAGAACAACATAATTGAATTAGTTCAAAAGCACACGTAAGGCCAGTACCATTTCCAACAGTGGCCTACATCAGATACCTCCAGAATTGTTAGGAAGAAGGCAAGCCCACTTTCCTGCTGTATTTCTTTTACCTGCCAGAGATCCCATATATGGCACAAAGGGGCTTAAATGACAGTTCCCTGTATTAGGGTGTAAACCTTTGGTAATGGAATTTCGTCATTCTAGTTACTTTATCAATAAAAATTAACACTAAAAATACAATTGGCCCATAATGCAGTAGCTGATATGCTTCTCTAGCACCGCGTTCGAACAAGTGACTCTTGATGCTCTTTTTTTCTCCTGAATGTTTTTTAGGATGTTCTCATCCTGCTCCATGTTAACTTTGGCAGAGATGAGAGGACAGAATTAACGTGTATAAAAGAAATATCTGTTCAATGATAGATTTAAGTTTCCTTACTTCTACTAAAATCTTATATTATGCCTACATAATAGACAATATGTATGTGATACCTCGTAGAAATAAGAGCTAGCTCAGTTACTGTTTGCAATGTAGATGCAGTAGTACAGAGCTCCACCTTCACTGATTTACCTCCCTGAAAAAACAGGGTAAATTAGCTCATGCAAAGTTCTATGCTACAGCTGCTTCAGTGCAATTGATTATATTGAGTTAATTCAGGCATCTCTGAAACGTGATACCAACGCACTGTAAACATGCCTTCAGCAGCACTGGAGTTGTAAAGATCTTTATCTTTTGCATTTCACTCAGAACTGTGAATCGAGAGAGGCTATTCAATTCTTCATTTTAGTTCTCTTATTTAAAAGCAACGTATAAACGCGGTAGGAAAGATTTAAATCTGTGCAAATGTCACAACCTTACAAATGCATTTTGCCAAATCAATATTTCTCCCCATCATGGGTCCCACCAGTGACAATGGTATCCTAAATGGGCAGTGTATTATATGAATGTGCAATACAGTGTATACATAAATCTCATGGTGGGTTACAATCCACCTTTTTTTCAGTTGATGCTGAGTTCTAGGTTTTCATAACTGCATAACATCAGGATTTCTGTCCTCTCTCAACTACTCTACATCATTTAATCTAAATATAGCTGGATATTTTTGATACAGTTGAATGAACATTTTTTGTCTTTAACAGATCTCTCTTACCACAACTCTCTTGAGAGTTTCATCAAAAGTTTAAAGCCATACATTTTTTGTCAGAAGTTAAAACAGTTATCTACCAACATCTGCTATAGAATCTTTTAACTTTATGGTAGGAAGTATATAAGGTTGTCCCCCATAAAGCAAAGATGTGTTCTATCTAGACAGTGCAAGTTGCAAACATTCCCCCCCACCATTTTGTACCTGACGAACAGCTGAGAAATTGGCCACTTGCTGCTGTTGCCACTTGAGAGTTGGAGAGTATCCTTCAGGAGCAGGCTGACATCCAGAAATCTAAGAAAACACTGGCAATAATTATAATGTAAAGAAAGTTTTATAAAAAGAATCCTTAAGAGCAAGAGCATCAGCAAATATTTACTATCAGATAAAAATGTCATTTATATACTCTTTAGAAAAAAGGTGATTTCATGACCACGTACAAGACTATGATTTGACAGCTGGTTGAGGCAAAGTTTCCCATTTGACTCTTCTGATAACGCGAATAAGAAGAAAAACTAAGTATTCAAAATATGCTATCAAAATAAGATTTTTATATATTTTTTTTCCTTGCAATTGTTCTGCTTTCATTTCCCTATTTATAAAAAGGAGGATGTTATTTCCTTACTTTGGACAGATGCTGTCTATCTTGGGAGTTCTATGTGCTCAGCTAATAAGGTGAGGAAGACAGAGAAGACTGCAGAAATATCTTTTTGGAAATTAACTCTGAAAATTAAGTAGACATATAACCCCTCTAGTAACCAGCTTTAAAGAGTTATTTTAAGAAAAGAATCTTTCTACAAATGTTTAACAATGCCACTACAAAGTGATGAGACAAATGAAGAGAATGGTCACAAGAATGACATGGTCATATGTCAGAGCACATTAAAGTTTTAGAAACTTCTCTTGAGCAGTCCAATAGTAAAATATCAGATCACAGTTTCCCACAGAGGAAGACAAACTCTGTTGCTTGAACTATTTGGAAGTAAAGAAATTAACAACAAACAAAAAACACCAGGGCATGTGACAACAGAAAGATCTGCTTGAGCAATAAGAAAAAATTTCAATAAAATATCCTACCAAAAATGGAAGAATTGGTGCTGGAATTTCATCTAACATTAGTAAACCTTAGCTGTATTTATTACACTTACTATCATTCATCACCCTCTATACACATAAATATATATATATGTGCACACACACATGTAAAAATATACATATATATGTGTGTGTATATATATATATATATATGAACAGAGGTATGAGTATCTTTCTTCCAAAGCTTACACAGGTTTTATGAGAAAATGTTTATAAAATTTAATGCAATATTTAATTTCCTCAGGCAGTAAAATAAGTCCTGCTGTTTATTAAATAGCATGGATAATAGCCATTTAAAACAGTTATAAAGACTGTTGTTATCCAGTAATTCAACAACCGTCTCTTCAAACCCTGAAATTTCATGGAATTCTGTAGATGCTTTTAATATACAGCAACTCTATTGTTTTATTTAGGCCAACTATCCCAAAAAATTAATACAGAGATTTTAACATAAATATATTTTCTGCTTCCCCCCCCCCTCAAAATAATAGGTGCAAAACCTCTCAAACTTACTGAAATGTTTACTGTCTGTTTCTTTCTCAATTTTTTGGGGTCTATTTGTGCCACAACGACATCTGGGCAGCGAGCTGCTTCAATCCTACAAAACAAAAGTAAATGGTTACGTTTGTTCCTGTATTGTAACAGGTGGTTATATATGTTGAGTGTCTTTAAACTATGGCACTTGCACAAATTCTCAAGTGTTTAAAAAAACACCACTGATTATACTAGCAATTCTTATGGAAGGTGTAACTTGAGAATTTCTTAATGTATCACAGGTTAAGTATTCTCAAACTGAGAATAAACTAGGGACGATTGCTCTAGCTTGCCTGAAGCTTGCTTGAAGTGAGACAGATTATGCTTCCCGTACCGGGATGCGGGAGATGGCGGGAGGCCACTGTTAGGGGTAGGTAGACACAGCTAACAGATGCACCCTCCATCCTTCTGCGAGAAGCGCGCAGCACCAGCGCCGAGCGCTGCAAATCCCAACGGGCCAACAAGCCTGTCAGAAACACCTAGTGACAGACGGCAGCGTGCCACGAAGCGTTAGGAGCTCTTACAGAACGAGCCTCACAGAAAAAAAAAGATGCGTTTTGACATCTCACGTAGGGAGAGAGCCGACCACGGAGGAAACGCTGGGGAAGTAACGTTTCTGGCTACCTTCTGGCAGCGCCCCGTGTCGCTATCAGCTCTCAGGAAGACACGGCAGCCCTGGCCGTGCCTGCGCACGCCGGCGCGGCGCTGGCCCCTCGCGCCCG